AATGTTAGGGGAATCCCGCAGGATCGCAGGACACAGGCTTTGCAAATAAAGTAAAGTTTATTAACTTAAACAGCTTCACAGCAGCAAAATAACAAAACAGTTCATCTTCACTGATCAGCTGGCCAACTCAAACAGCAACTCTTCAGTACAACACTAAAGAACAGTCTCACCGACATGAAGTTTTCAGAGCTGCAATCGCAGTTTATACAGTCCCAGACTTCAAGGGTAACTTTCCCAGTCTACAGATTTCCAGCAGGATTACTGACATTCAAGCTCACAGCAGTACACAGATCCCCACTCTCCAACCTCCTCCACACTACTCCTCACCTGCTAGCTACCACTTCCTGTCTTTTAAACACACTCTTCCTCCAGCAGGTGAGTTAACCCCGTCTCATCCTTTAAAAGGACCACAGTCCAAACAGAGGGGAAATATAGCGTCCTTCCAGGACCCAGCCCCGGTGTCCTGTACAATATATATATATACCCTATAGCACTGTTAATTGTTTATAAGGTAGGGTGCCCACATGAGTACAAATGGAAATCAAGAACAGCATTTAAGTGTATGTAAAACCAAAACGTTTTCTAGTTTTGGATAAGGGGGGAGGCGTGTGATTTCATAGAGCCCCCCTTGCTATATTTAAAAAGAAGACAGATCTCCCGCGGTCTCCAGTATCTTGAGGCTTGATAAAGAGGCAATCTTGGATAGAGTAGGGGTTAAGGTCCCTGTCACTGGGGCACTGATCAAAAATTACTCCTCACTTAATTTTCCCTTCACTTCCTGTCACTGAGATACAGAAGAGATACACTTCTGCTCTGCCCTATGCTTCCCTTATGCTTCCTACGACCTCCTCATCAAAACAAGACATACAAAATAAATCCCAGCTAGGGCCAAACAATGTATACTGTACAGACCCTGACCTCTATCCAGACCTGAGCAGGCTAGGCAATGCCTCTGTACCTGCTGTGTTTTTATGTGTAGATATGATATGGATGGCGTGGTGGGGTGGGGTGGGAGGTGCTGAGAAAAACAAAAGTACACTTACACTTCAAAGCACTAGTAGCAAACATATGGAGCCACAGCTAGAACAGGGCTGTGGTTCAAAAACCTGAACTTTTGTTTTTTACATGTGCAAGTCATGTTGCTTTGCAACATTTTTTTAATAAATGAGATGGCTTCTAGTTATTTTTCCTGCTCCAGGGTATGTTCTGTGTATGTGGTAGGCACTAATAATGATTCAATATGGGCAGCACTGATTTCCAAAGACGTCTGGTGCATTTTCAATGCAGAAATGTCAGTGTGCAATCACACCATCCTTTTAAGTCTTAATCAAATAATAGACTAAGGGTCTATACTAAGGGTCCCAGGCAATCTGAGTAGAAACTGATTTATCTAAGCTAACCTTAGTAATAATTAATCATAGGACAACTCAATATTACTAGCAATGCTGGGATCACTCACACAGCTCACCTAGCAAATGTACGGTGCATGAGACTATATAAATATATGTGAGTGTGTGTGGTATTTAAATGTAACAGTTCATGCTCTGCAGAATAATAGCACACATAAGCAAATGCAGCCCTCCATTTTGCTAATGCTCATCAACAAATGTTTATCATCATGCAGTTCTAGTAATACATTGTAGATATTGCTGTGTATGGAAATACGGCAGATGTCCTGGCACTGTACATGTAGCTGAAGAAAAAACAATTTTTAAAGCAGCGGGTTTTGAGTTTTCAAAAATTGGGATTGCTGAGATAAATGTGCAATAATGCTAATCTTTGCTGATTTACTCTAAAATTGAAACCACTGTAAATAATGCTTTTAAAGTAGGCTGCAAGTTTTAAATGTCTTCTGTTTATTTTCCTTTCCCATAAGAAAATGTTTTTAACTTATAGATTAACACATTGGATGTTATTTGTCCCTTAGGTGATGGTGGATTTGCAAAAGATGCCAGGCTAAAAGCACCCTCTTCATTAGCTGTATCTCCAGATGGTACACTGTACATAGCTGATCTTGGCAACGTACGCATCCGAGCAGTCACTAGGAACAAGCCGCATCTGAATACCATGAATATGTATGAGGTTGCCTCTCCAGCAGACCAAGAATTGTATCAGTTCAGTACCAATGGGACACATCTTCACACTTTAAACCTTATAACTAGGGACTATGTGTACAATTTCACATACAATGGTGATGGGGATGTCATCTCCATCACTAGCAGCAATGGCAATTCAGTACATGTACGAAGAGATGCTGGAGGTATGCCATTATGGTTGGTGGTCCCTGGAGGTCAGGTGTACTGGCTTACCATCAGTAGCAATGGTGTGTTAAAAAGGATATCAGCCCAAGGATATAACCTAGCACTGATGACATATCATGGCAATACAGGACTACTGGCCACCAAAAGCAATGAGAATGGTTGGACGACTCTAGTTTGTTTTATGTAAATGTCTACATTTTCATGCAGTCTCGTGACATGATGGCAAACATTGTACTAGCCATCCTTGCTGAATAATTCATGCTGGAAAATCAGAGTGGTCCACAATATCAGTGAAGTAGTGCTACGCAAGTAAATTGTATATAATGTGCAAATATGGCATGGTAAAGATTGAGTGCAGAATACATGGCAATGCCTGCAATAATGTAGAAAAAAAATGTTGTTAATCCCGTTATATTCCACATGTTATCATTCACTTGGTATACAGCCATGTTTTGTTATGTGCTTTTGTTTTCATACCTTAATAATCTTTAATGTAAGACAGAAACATGGAAACTGCCATTATTGACTTTTCTTGAAAATACTAGCTCCCCTAGGGGAGTCATTCTGATGGTTTTGCTTCAATACTTTGTTATGTCTCAGAGATGCAGAGACTGCTAACAGTTCATCATCTTTATTTCACACACACACATAGGCAACTTCTCCTCCAAAAAATTGTCTCCTAAAGCGACAATTTTTTTTTAATATTCTTGTTTATGTGGGCCAGACTTCCTATAAAATAACTTTATTTTGCTCTTTATATTTTTTATTTCCTTGTTTTCTAGTGATATCCAGTCGCTACCCCCACCTCCCCCCATATGGGTGCCTCCATCAGGTAGCCGACTGCTGGGAAGGCATCTGTACGTGCACAGTCATGGCTGTGCCCGCACCTAGCTGTGTACATCCATAGACACACACAGCGTGCCGGCGGCAACGCACTCCACCCTTGCAATCATAGTTTGATTGGCGGCATAATGGGCCTATGGCTCATCTGCCCTCAGTACCCTCCCCCATAACCAGGAAGTTCAGGGTCCTTCCAGCCTTTCTCCCCCTCTGCTCCAGTGGTCTAAGGTCCTGTGAGTCATAACGTTCAATACATGGTGTTTAGGACATGAGTACCCAGTGGAACATATCACTCTTGGAGCAGGGGAGAAGACAGGCTGGAGGTAGCACTCTAACAGTCATCCGGCTGCAAGGTTCAGGTGAGTATAACTTTGTTATTTTCGCACCTAAGCGGAAACAAGCATCTAACACTTGCGGTAAAGGGGTAGCCCTGCTGCAAGGGGTAAGAATGTTTTCCAGAGTTCTTCTTTAAACAAAAGTGATAGTGGGTCCCCCTCAGCTGTCACACAGTTCCAGTACATCCAAAACATTTTTCGACATCTCCATGCAGTCTAGAGGTGGACAGTGGAACATAAATGTTTATGCGGCGTGTAATATGTCCATGCTCCTGTTATCCAAGTCAGGCGCATTGATGCCCCAGTTCTAGTAACTTCTGGGTCCACCATCTGTTCCTAGTTTGGATAGGTTCAAGGATGTCTATGGGGAAATATCTGCAGATTAGCAAGCAGATTGCAGATCTTAGAGATCACCCAGAACTTCCTAGAACTGTACTAGGCAATCAAGAAAGAAGAAATCAAGAATTAATAGGGATGTTATTTTGGTCAATGTCTTGTGATGAACCTAAAAGAAAACAAGCTACATGTTTATACTAAAGAAGCTGATTTAGATGTATTTGATGGCAATGTGAACAAAAACTATGCAGTAATCATAAGAGCCTGCACTGCTCATTTATCACGAGTGTTTCTTTAATGTTTGCTCCTTAAAAAAAAAAACTTATAGCATATTAGTTGGTTAGTGAGTCTGCAGATCCCCTTAAGGGTTTGCTATAGCTCCAGCTGAGTCCTTTCTTATTAAATTCATCTTCTCTGTTCTTACTTAAGAGCAGCTGCATGTTATCTGGGAGATGAATATTTGTATCTTCAAACGTAATATTACTTATTGCCTAATGCCTTATAAGCATCCGGTCTTTCTGTGTCTTTTACTCATTCTTAGTAGTTTAATAGAAGGATGGATCTTCGCATTGTTCCATATTCTTGATGTAAGGAGTGGAGTCACATAGGAAGGACATATACCATCATCATTATTCCATCTAGACACTCAAAGAAATCTTTTCTGCAGAGAGTAGGCTTTGTGAAGATCACATTAGCAGCATATGTAAGATATGCTACAAAAGCTTATGGTGTTATTAAAAACTATGTCTGATGTACTCTTCCTGCAAAATGAAAGTAAAGTGTTAGCAGCAAAAACTGTGTTTTTATAAAGCATTGTAATATCAAAGGAAATGGTATTTCACGAAGAAAGCACAATGTAGATTTTTTAATACTTAAGAGAGAAAGATAAAATTTAATTGGTTGCAATGGGGTACTGAATTTGTGCATTATTATTGAACCCCCAATCCAATTCTAGCTAAAATGTTTATTTTCACTTTAAGTAGAGTAAAAAAGAGAACTTCTGTCAAATATTTATAGCTATAGTGTGATACCATATTGGAGATTTCCGCCTGCCCCTCCCCCCCGCTTCCCCCGTCATGGTGACAGCATGAGGGGTTGAGGTCACTGAACCAGAAAAATACTAGCGGTAATGAAATCATGAGGAAAGTTGCTGCGTGTTTGTTATTATCTACGGCCCTAGATTGAGGAGATTGCACATAACTTCTTGTCCCATGTGATACCTTGCCACTGAGTAGGAGAAAAGCTCCCCATTGTGGACAAACACATAGGGAGGGATTTATCAAAACTGGAGCAATCAGAATCAGCATCTCTCTTCAGTTTTCTCAGGTAAGATTTGAAAATGAAAGAGAGAAGCTGGTTGGCTGCAGTGCAAATCAGCTCCAGATTTTGTCTGCCCCAGTTTTGATAAATTCCCCCCATAGAGTACAGCTCCTTGTTGTCATATCTGGATATCATTCAAGAATTCCTTTAAATTAGTTGTAAGTTTAGTTAGGAGAATTTAAAGCCCATCTGTAGCCATTACTTTTTTTTTTTTGAACAGAGTGGGAAATTGTTTTTATTTGCAGCCTGTGCCCCCATTAGTGAGACTTCCTTTCCCAGTGCCCAAGGACAACCCCTCCCCTCACTGTCATACGGACAATGGTTCACAAAAAGGGAGTGAAAATCTGCAACAGGGACTAAAACAACAATAATAAGCTGATAGGAGCTAAAGTGTCATGCTTGTGGTGCCATTTATTGTTAATGGTACCCCCAATCATGGAAAACAAGTCGCCCCTTTTCATGTGCAAAGACGCATTAAAAATGCACAAAAAGCATTCTATTAATTAACAAACAAAGCTCTAAAAGCATGATCGTCTTTGCCACATTTGTAAGGCACGAATGAAAGGGCTGCAGTATGTGCAAAGAACGCACATAAATGTGTCATGTGATGTTACGTTACACATGTGTGAATGGTGTCTCAAGGGAAAACAGCTTCACCCTGTTTACTAGCATTCACTCTGCTAAGGGAACATTCACTTTGCTAGGTGAACGGTATCTACTTATTTAGTGGGTCAACACCTTTGTTGGAAATAATTCCTCTTACAGAGTTGTGTCAGAATGTTCTTGGTATATCTTTTTTTTAGGTCAAATGTAATGTAATACTGCATCATGGTCAGTAGATGGAGCTGTGCAGCATAGGAAATAATGGCTTATTTCCTGTGCTCCTCTGCTCCATCTAGTACCCATAATGCAGCATTACATTGCATTAAACTTTTTCTGTTTACCTCTATTCACACAGAATAAATGTTTACAGAGGCGTACAGGGTAAAGGATCCTGCAAATTGTTTAGAAATAGATCCCCAGGTGTGAAAAGTCTTTTGAGTAGAGTTGCCATTGGTGTATGGTAACAGTTTATTACATTTGTTAAAGTAGTTTTAAACTCACAAACTTGTTTTCAATAATGAGTCCAGATCAAAGAAATATACATTGCCAAGGGAAGTATTTCTTTAAGTGTTTGCCCTAACATTTACAGCCATCATGTTTCCGAACAGCTCCAACTCCAAACTCAGCTTTCCTAAACTTCCTGTCCAATACAACATCACAAGGGAGAGCACAGTCTCTAGTAGCTGTTTGACTAATAGCTTGGAGAAGGAAAGAATGGGTAGGAGGGGAGTGACTTGCCTTGCTGTGTTTGTGGGGAGGCACAGCTTACTAGCACACAGAATGGCTCCTTAGCACCCTGCAAGGGAAATGAGCCACCCTAAAACAGCATATCAGGGATTCTGCAGGAAGCTAAAACTTGTAACCATCAAGGAGCAGAATCTATTGTAGGGGATTTAATCTGCATTTGAAATTTTTGTAATATCATTTTAACTGTTGGATTATATATATTATGTATGTGCTGTCTGCCATCTGCAGAAGACATTGATATTTTGCTACGTTTCCCATGAAAATAATAATGAACATAATAATAATAAAAACTTGTGTATGATGATGTGACAGTTAGGAAAGACAGGTGTTTTGTTTTTTTTCACATTTATGGTACGTTATAGTGAACACAAAAAAGGAAGCTCTGTTGCAAATAGTTTTAGAGACATAGATATCACAGGTGTAATGGAAGATCTCAAAAGCAACCGCGGGAGATGAGCAGAGTGTTGTGGCGAGGTTATTTGTCTTGCAAGATCACCATGGCAACATTAGA